TTGACAAAAGCTTGGTGCTAGCAAAGCATGGTCCTCCTTCAGACACTGGCTCTTCTGGTGCTGGGACCATGTGCTAAATCTGCAGGAACAGAGGCTGCCTGCTAGGAGAACCCTTAGAGGATTTTAGCACTGTAAAGGCCATAACTGGATTATAGTAAAATGATTATTTGGAGAAGAGCATGGCAACCCACTCCAATATTCTTGCCTGGAGAATCCCATGGATAGAAGTGCCTGGCAGGCTACAGTTGATAGGGTTACAAAGAGTTGGTCACAACTGAAGTGACTAAGCATGCATGCATACAAAATGATTACTGGCTAACTCCAAGAATATATAGAAGTTTAATCCGAGAATAGCAAGAATATTCAAGACTGGTGACATACATGACAGGATAAAGATTGATGAGGGAACAGCATAATAAACTTGGTACCCAGAAGAGACTAACTCAAGGAAGTTCAGTCGCTCAGTCATGTCCGACTCTTTGTGACCTCATGGGCTGCAGCATGCCAGGCCTCCCTGTCCATCACCAGCTCCCTGAGCTTGCTCAAACTCATGACCATCGAGTCGGTGATGCCATCCAGCCATCTCATCCTCTTTCATCCCCTTCTCCTCTTGCCCTCAATCTCTCCCACCATCAGGGTCTTTTCCAGTGAGTCACCTGTTCACATCAGGTGGCATTTTTAATATCAAAGGAAAACACTAGGTTCTGTGCAGTTGCCTGCTTCTTGCAAGACTGTGGCCTGTGTACTTTCTTGGTAGAATCTGATAGATGAATATTTGTGCACAGGAGTACATGCTTGGATATATGTAATTGACAACATCTTAAAAGTGACAGGTCAGTGCCTGACAATGCACCTAGGAAGCCAGGTCATTTGACAGGAAGTAGACCTCTAGTCGGAAAGCTCCAACAGGGCTCATAGAATCTGCTCGCTGCACCCTTCTTCAAATCTTCAGACTGGAGCTTCAAAGTACAAGAGTGATGAAAAGGCTAGATTCAGATTGGCTCTTCTCCTGACTGGATGTGTGGCTGTGAACAAGTTTTTTCCCTTCCCTCTCAGAGGCTCAATTGTCTCAAGTGTAAATATAAGGCTAACAATAGTATGTAATTCATAGCATTGATGGGGATTTCACGCAATCGTATTCATGAAGAACTGCTATATTACCTGATACTTGGGATAGCCAATATCAAAAAGACCAGGCTGACTCTCCTTCCTCCCAAATCTGAGCCTTCACAGACTAGAAACTTATGAGGGTGTGTGTTCAACAACGTCCCGTCGCTTTACATATCCCTGCCCCAGTGCTCAGACCACAGAGCTCATCCCACAGTGACTAGGCTGCACTTTGAGGCCAGCCCTGAGGAAAAGTGGTGCTTCCCACGGCTGGGTGCAATGGCCCACGTTAGAGTCCTGTGTCCAGAGGAAGGCTTTGACAACACTGTCAGCCTTTCCAGCAGATTGTCAGCGCAGAACACAAAAATGGAAATGACGTCAAAGATCCATGAGAAGGCCGGACTCAAATTCAAAAGGACAGTGAAAGAGGGATGATGACATTATGTACAGCTGAGTGAAATAAGGGTAATTAGATGAAATTAATGGGCCTTTGAATTAAATTTGGTACCTCCTCGCTTTCGGTAATATTCCACTCTGGAGACTGAATCAGGAATGGGAAGGGTGGCTCTTCTCCCCAGATTTGTACCACGTGTCCTGCACCCCACCCCCCACAGAAGCTCACACCAGAGCCCCCCTCAGACCAGAGCTCCAGAAGCCTTAACTGCCACCCAGCCCCCTGTCTGGCTCCCTGCTAATCAGTCTTCTTTGACTTGAAATTCAGTATCCCCTGCAGAAAGTCTGCGGTGGCGCTTTAAAGTTATTTGCATCCACTCTGAGGAATGTTTTTAGTTCTAGTTCTAAATTGAGTGCCTTCATGCTTTCAATCCCCCCGATAAGCAGGGCAGCTGGATTCTACAGAAACCACACAGGGCCACAGTTCTTAGTCACGTCAGGGAATCGGTGCATAAATAACTGACAGCATCGTAAATCTCTTCATGGCCGGTAGGAAACGGAAGTAACCAGTGTGAGTCAGTAAAACAGTTATACAATGTGAAGAGTTTTGTTCCAAGACAAGTAAGGCATGCATGCCTACCCTGATTTGTGGAGGGCTCTCTAGGCGATCAGCTGAGTTCCCACTGGAAAGCACGCTATGATTTGGCTTGGACATATTCCAGACATAAGGGTGTAGCTATTCACCACCCCAGTCCTAGTACACCGCCATACAGGAGAGCTTAATATCATGCCAGGGAGATTGGTCTTCTCCCTTCAACCCCAGGTTGCCTGCCAGCCCCCCGTTCTACCTGATGTGGCGGAGACCGGGCAGCAAGAGGGAGAATGACTCCAAGCCCAGTTCTCCTACTTAGTATTCACTTTGAGCAGGTAACACACATCTTAAAAGGGTGGGGAGCCTCAGTACGTAGGCCTGTGAGTCAGGTGCCTAGGAGAGGACTGGCTGAACCCACCTACACCCAGTCTGTCACTTCCTTCCCTTCCCTCTTGGCCTTCCCCACTTCACCACATGCTCAGTGGCTCAGTCATGTCCAACTCTTTGCAACCCTATGGATTGTAGCCCGCCAGGCTCCTCTATCCGTGGGATTCTCCAGGCAAGAATACTGGAGTGGGTTTCCAGTGCCTCCTCCAGCTTATCCTCCCAACCCAGGGGTTGAACCTGAGTCCCCCGATGTCTCCTTGCTTTGTCAGACAGATTCTTTACCACTGAGCCACCCGGGAAACCTCACACGTTACTACAACCCCTTCCTGCAAATAGTACCTCTCGCTCCGAGATGGTGGACAAAATATACCCCCAGCATCACAATCTGCAGCTTTGGCCCTCTGCGTTAGCCCTGTCTGCAGCCCAGTAATGCACAGCCAGCATCAGTATTTATCTCAAGGTGACACTTATAATGGATGATTGCAGCACTTCTTAATCCATTTATGTAATCCTCTCTGCTTTGCTTGCAGTTATTTTCAGGGTTTTAGCAGCAATGAAATGGTTCCTTTCCCAAGACAGAGTTCATTTAATTTAAAACTGGATTGATTATAGCTAAACTTATGATATGTCTTTGCAAAGGAAGAAGAAAACAGCCATCAATTATGCATGATAATTTTTTAGCATTTCTGCAACTCCCACAGTGTCCTGGGCTCAGCATGTGAGAGTTGGGGTAAAATCCCTGCCCTTGAGAATCAAAGGCACACAGGGCAGAGCATGAGTCCACTTGCCACTGAATTCCTTGTTCAAGGGGGTCATCGACCACATGGCCAGCATTTTAGCTGACTTCATGGGGTTAAGTGGAATCTTCATCCATTTGTGCCTTTTTTCATTTCTGTCTCATTCAGATGCATTCTACTGACAGCATCCTTAGCCTTTGACCTCTACCCCAAAAGAGCACTCCTTACTACTCCTCACCCAGTTTTTGTTTAGGACTAAGACATTTAATGGGGTTAAAATCAGAGTAAGTCTGATGACAATTGCCTGACATTTGTGGGATTCCTCCTGCAGTAGCCTGACTGGTGACAAGGGAAGTGCATTCAGAAATGGTATGGAACCCGGAAATGGACAAAGGACTTTCCCCTAACTGCATTCTTGTGAGAAGATATTCATGTACAAGCTCACCCGCCAGAGGATTTGAATCCCAAATAGGTGGATGATTAGATGGATTTTGAGACCACAAGTTAAAACATAATTTATATAGTACAATAATACAAATGTAACTCAAGTAAAATATTAATGACTAAAATCTGAAAATTTAGTGTAATACTCTTAATTCAAAGAAGTCCTGATAGCCAACCCCCCAGATAATTATTTACATAGAATAATGACCAAAAGAGAGAAATAGAAGAGGCAGATCTGAAAAAGAAATTTTTTTTTAATTATTGACCATTTGACTTTAAAGGGAAAAACTGGAGAAACTGAATCAAGATGAATGATAAAAACCAGATTGAATACCAGGCACTCTGCTTTCAATACTTCAAATATTGCTGAAATAACTAAAGTTACACTATTTGCATTTTGTAGATGAAGAAACAGAAGTACAGAGGAGTCAAGTAACTTATCAACTGAAAGGAGATATAGCTATGAGTTAAATGCTGCTGTGGATTAACTGCAGAACCCAAGCACTTAACCACTACGCTATACTGCCATCTAGGATGCAATGCACAAATATGCATCATATTCACAACCTCCAAATTCCTTGTCTTTTGACATTTTGCTTAACCTTGGAGTTACAATGAAGCTAAAACTTTTTATTCATCACATTTACTTGTAGAATTTCACTGTCAGATCAATAAATTAGAATAATTCTCCCTAATATGTCCCTGATATAAGTCAAACTATATTAAGTAATGGCCTAGAGTCAGGAGTTGTTTAAAGTCAAGAAGGTAAATATATATATTTTTGCACATACACACACACACACACACACACACACATATATTTTTTAAGGTAAAGACAATTATTTTAAATTGCTGAATGTTTTATTTTCTTTCATTGGAACTTTTTTTGTTTTTTGTTTTTGTTTTTTTTTTTTACATTAGAAAGGTGCAAGAAAAATTGAGTCAAGATTTAGCTACGTTTTTGAAGGTCATTTTGTTTTCTCTTTGCTGTTATTGATTTTTTTTTTTGAAGGTGAAGATAGGATCAAAAGAGAAATTAGATTTTCCACCTATGGTATTGGAGAAGGAAATGGCAACCCACTCCAGTATTCTTGCCTGGAAAATCCCATGGACAGAGGAACCTGGTAGGCTACAGTCAACAGGGTCGCGAAGAGTCAGACATGACTGAGCATGCGACACTCACTTTTGGTATTTGGGGTAGTAGTTGAGATCCCATGAATAGGGTCAATCCCTGGGTTGCGGCTGCCCTCACGAATCTCCCCACCTTGCTCCCAAAATGCATGCTGAGCGTTTATGCCACAGTCGTGCACTTGGTTACCTAGCGCGTGTGTTTCTTACAGTTGACCTGGACAGGCTCAATGACGATGTCAAGCGTTACAGTTGCACTCCCAGGAATTACTCCGTCAACTTGAGAGAAGAGCTGAAGCTTACCAATGTGGTCTTCTTTCCACGCTGCCTCCTTGTGCAGCGTTGCGGAGGAAACTGTGGCTGTGGAACTGTCAACTGGAAGTCCTGTACGTGCAATTCAGGGAAAACTGTGAAAAAGTATCACGAGGTATGCCGCTTTCAGAATTGTCTTGTTGCAGTGCTGCACTTGGCCCTTTAGCAGCGACAACAGTCCTGTAGTCTCTAGGGTGCTGGGACACTGGGCCATCGCATTGGTTGTTCGGGTTGTTCAGTGCACAGGGACACCTCCCAGTGAGATGACTGCAGAATTGTACTCGAGCTTAACTTGCAAAGGCAGGTCCCTGGGGACGGTGTGGGTCCATCCTGAAGTAGGGATTCCTTTTTCTAACCCTTATTCATAATATATATGTGGCTTGACAACGGGCTTGTTAGTACACACAATCAAATGCATGATGCAATAATTTGAGAGCTTACTTACAGAAATATAATGGGATTCATTTACAGCATATGACTACAAATCTAGGTTACTTTAAGAGAATACTAAGAGCTAATCTTAAATTCAATCAACTCACTGAAAAATGAATCAGGGTAAAAATAGCAAAGTATAAATTGTCAGAAAAGATACTTTGTCAGAGACTTTTTCAATCTCTAATTATGGAAATATTTTTCTTCCAGAAGTACTAACTTTTCCTAAATATAACTGCGTGCTCTGGGGAATCAGCTCTGAAATTATGCGAAAGTAAACAAAAGTAAACATAAAGATGTAAGAGGAATGAAAATTTAAGGAGAGCAGAAACTTTTAATGATAATAACAGGAAATACACATAAGTCTTTACAGTGTACGAGACATCATTATAAGCGATCATTAGCTCCCTTGGCAGTTTCCCCACATGTTGTCAGGAGATGCTATTTGTATTCCCTTGTTATAGATGAATAAACTGAAGCCTAAGAGGAACAGTGGATTGACCAGTGTGACTTGGTCAGTAACTCAGAGAAATGGGACCTAAACTGATCCACTGTTTCTAAAGTCTATATACTTACCAACGGTAACACTGAACACTCTCATTTTAAATGTATAGCACGTTATTGAAGATTAAAGGAACAGTGGACTTAAGCGGAGTTAGGGCTGCTCTTGACACTGACAGCAACGCTATCACTTCCTGATTATGCAAGTCACTAAAGTTTAGAGAGCCAGTTTTCATGTATGTGAAATAGGATTTAAGAAATTATATGATAACCCCATACAGGGTGGCTCTGGGGAATCAAAGCAGTGCATATGAAGTGCATTTTGTAAGAGGTAAAATACCATATTGAACTATGTTTAAAATATAAAATATGAACCAAACACTATTGTTAGGAATTATTGTTTGAGTTGCTTTTCATCCATCAAAAGTATCCATCAAAACAAAGGAATAGAGGTGCCCCCTAAATAAAAGCTCCCACTTTACACAACCACTTTGTTATCCTGAAAACAATAAAACAATAATCAGTTAAGAGGTAATTACTGAGCTAAATGAAAAGGGATTCGTCATAAGTGGTATTTTCAACGTGGGAAAAGTAGGAGCTTGGAGGCCACAGTAACCCTGCTTACCTCAGATAGATGCAGACACGATTTGAGACCTACACAGAGCATGTTTTCTTAGTAACAAGAATTTCTTACTTCACCTCACATTTTTCAAAGGAGAAAAAAAAAAATCTGTTCTCATATCCAGAGAATGCTGTTGTCTGTGTTCACTGTGTTTTATTTTTGTATGACCTGATGAACTCTAGATTGGACTTTGTCCTTTGTGTCTAAGAACCTGAATTTTGTAATGTTGAGTCATAATGTTGTCACTGAGGACAAATGCAGAATGCAATAATTTGGTTTGCGTTAAAATAAGTCAGGAAGTGACAAGATCTCTACCTAGTCTTTCCTGTGAGGAAAACATGTAAGTTCAGGCCTTTGATGCTTTATTTTCATCTTGACTCTCCTCTCAGACAGAAGTTGTAGTTTAATTTTTTTTAATTGCTTATTGTGGAAACACAGAGTTAAACACACACCCAAAAGGGCCCTCACCTCCCAGACAGTTAACTTGGAAAGAATCTGAAGGGTCCTTTTCTTAGGTCTATTGTCTCTCTGCACAGAGGCTGTTACCTATAAGTTTCTATTCACAATTAATATCTAGGAGGCAAAGCCCTTGATCTCTTTGTTCAGTCGCATGAGTGGGTCTAAAATGTGGAATCTTTTTGAAACTGCTATCTAAAGCATCTCTGTGGAACGTGTCATGATATTTTTACTTCTCGGAGTCTGCTGAGCTCTGTGCAAAATCACTCTGCTGAGCTCTGGACAAAAGGACAAAAGCGCATCAATCATTCCATCAGTTATGGCACACCTGGAACACGTGCGGCTGGCACATTTTCCCCAGCCTCCTAAGATGCCCCTAAAGTATGTCCCAGGCAGCGTGCTGTCCAGGAGGCGTGTTCCATTTCCAGACATAGGGGTTGCTCAGGCTCAGTCTCGTGAGGCAAGAATCCTTGTCCTCTCTCCTGTTAGTTTTGGCCCCATAGTCTTAATGCAGAGAAATGAGAAACTGGTCTCCCCGCCTCCTGGTTGGAACTGATGAGATGGGAAATGAGTTTGCATGAGATGAGCACCCTTAAGGGGGTGACTAGAACTTGCCACCTAAGCAGGCCTCTGTGATTCTCCACAGATAGTTCAAGGCTCAACATTTAAGGAATGAAGTCTAAGAAATTAAACTGTATAATTATAAAATATCAATAATTAGAAATTATAAATAAAAGGAAGTTAAGATCTTTGCTCTTTCCCCAGGTCACATGACTTCTCCTTTTAGAGATCTCAGCATTTTGCACTCTTCAATAAAATGCTCCATCTGCACAATTCCCTCTTCTGAAAAGTTTGTAGGTATCCTGCTAAAGTATTCTTCCTCTTTCCTAGCAACCATTCCTTCTCTTGGAATATATAGAATATAAAAAATACTTTCGGTGGGGATTTTTAAAAAGAGAAAATTCCAGAAAACATACTTACTCTGTAGACTATTAGAGGATGCTATTATTTTAGTCTTATCTTCCCTTGTTAGTGTATAATGAAGGGATGTTCCCTAGAAATATATTGACCTTTTAGATTAATACTTACTATTCTATTTTTTCTTAAGCATTTGGTCTCCTGGCTATGTCCATTCAGTCAACAGTCCAAAGCTTAGGAGGCAACAGAGAAAGACAAATTAATTTTCACCGTCCTACCTCTCATGATTTTGTCCCAGTGCTGGGCACAACTGCGCTATCTGTTAGAACTTTCTGCAGTGATGAGAGAGTTCCATATCGGTACTATCCAATCTGGTAGTCACTAGCAACTTGTGGCTCCAGAGCACTTGAAATGTGTGTACTCCAAATGAGAAACTGAATTTTTAAATTTTATTTAATTTAAACTAATTTGAATGTAAATAGCTGCACATGGTCAGGGGCTCCCATAGTGAAGAGCATAAGCCAAGACACAACTCTGTCTGTGGCACTCACAGCATCTAAACCATCCCAGTCGCTTGAATAATGAAAAAATTACTGTGAATGACTTTTTTAACTTTACATTAAATATATAAAAATTTTGTATTAAAAATTTGTTGCCCATTAAACATAAGAGGTAGAAGATATAAGCAGATATTTACATATGAAACAAAAGATTGATTGGAGATAATAAAATATTGGGATTTAGACTTGAGATAAAAGAATGGTACTTTAAATTTTTACATGTTTTAAGCATCTGTCATTGAAACAAATTTAGCTAAAATCACAAATTGAGACCAAGAAGACAGGAAAACAATATTTTTCCAAAAGTTTCTACTCTATGGTAAAGGCAATGAATTTGAGGGTTATGATTATAAAAAAAGTCACAAAAATCTTTATTCTTTTCCCGGAAACAGCATTTCTAGAGCTTATGTAGAGTCTCCCTACTTCTTGCTCCCTCTTTGAGTGAGACCTTGAGAAGATTCTCTTGCAGGCCTTTCCTGTCTGTTCCTATAAGAGACAAGACAACAGAGGCAAAGAAAATCACACAACTGAAGAGAGAATATGTGGATTCACATGAGAGGCCACCTCGGGCCAGCCACCTAAAACTCCCCAGGGCCTCGGGTTTCCTCCTTAACTCCCTATGATAACCTACAATTTTGAGTTCCCAGACAGATCTGAAATTATATGATATCTGCTCACCACTCCCTAAATCTTATCTTGCCGAGATTGTGTTAGGAATATAAACAAGTTGGTGGTTGAAATGCTAAGAAAATACAAAAGAACAAATATATGATCTGGAACATTTAATGTGTATAGACTATATATAAAAAAGTTTTCCACCCACCATTAGTAACACCTGTGCTGCTTACCTCTGGGGAATCCTGGGACAATGAAAGCCTCTGAAGTCTGTAAAGCACTCAACAGACGTGGGCATAATATCCTGAGAGTGTGGTCGGGCTTGCTCTGTTCTGACTCCCTTACAGCCTTGATAACTTACTGATGCTGGGACCCTCCAAGTACAGCAAAGTGCATACATACTTTGCCTTGTAGATCTGGATTCATGTTAAGCCTTCTTGCCAAAGTTTAGCAAACCTGCCTTTGGGCATGATACTCCCCAACTAGACAAAGACCCGTTTGTGACATGAATGATACTCACTGTTAATGCCGTGCTCTGAAACTTGGTGCCCAGCTCAGCTTCCATCATGTTTTCTGCAATTGGTGCACTGAACATGTAGTGTTCTAAAATACTGTTAAAATCATTTATCTATTTCAGTTCAGTTCAGTTCAGGTAAGTCGCTCAGTCGTGTCCAACACTTTGCGACCCCATGAATTGCAGCATGCCAGGTCTCCCTGTCCATCACCAACCCCCAGAGTTTACTCAAACTCATGCCCATCGAGTCTGTGATGCCATCCAGCCATCTCATCCTCTGTCGCCCCCTTCTCCTCCTGCCCCCAATCCATCCCAGCATCAGGGTCTTTTCCAATGAGTCACAGTAGGAAGTAAATATTACAAAATGTAATTCCACCCGCTCCCCACCAAAAAATTTAAAAATCACTTTATAAAGCTTACCAGAAGCTGGGGCCCATAGATTNCCACACAGTCAAAGGCTTTGGCATAGTCAATAAAGCAGAAATAGATGTTTTTCT